TTTATCGAAGTGGGCTAAAATCAAGAGGAACCAAAACGTCTGTTTCCATATACTTTATCAATCGAACTAAATAAAATGTAAACTATAAATAAAAAAGCATGCAAGTAGGATCAACCAATCATATGTTTTTCCGTACTCACCTGTCTTATAAACAGTTTCAGCCCAACCGTCTACCTGCCATGCCTGTTCACGAGTGATTTTGCGTTTCTCGAGATCACTAAATTAATTCGAATGAGATATTAGTTTGGGATGATGAATAGTAGGTGTAGCATCTGACTTACGGATATTGCCACATATGATGGACATAATTTAAAGCACCCAATTGTGCAAACCAGGCACCCACTGGTTCGCAAAATTGTCGACGGCACTCAAGACCACGATGCCTACCCAAAAAAAGAATCATCGAATCAATAATTAAATCGATTGAACTAATTCAAAATGTAAATTAAATTACCAATGAGTTTCCCACTCTAATAAATTACCGGGCTATTAAAATTCATTCGGTGATGATAACATAATTAATTTAATAATCAGATGCCTAGAAAATTTCAACCCCATTTGCCGTCAAACCTTAAGCTCGTATGATCTTAATTCGTAAATCCCACCATTAACGGCTGGTGGACTGGTCTGCCAAAAGGCAAATTCAAGGCAGATTTGATTGTATCGACTCCGAAGTAAGGGGCGTAATTGCTTAACAAATTTTTGATATTGCTGTACACAAATTAAATAATGTCAATTACAAGGGTGTCATTTCAGTATAACTGTAAAAGGTAAAACAGCTTACGGGATCATTTCGAAGACGATTGTGCGTTTCGTGGTAACCCTTATATCCTTGATATTCCCAGATATGAACTAACCTCGGATAAAAAAGGTCATTTTTCCATGTGCATGTAAAGAACAAGTATAATGTCATTAGGGTCCAACTTACCAAAAGAATCAAGTTGGCCAATTTCCGTCTGCCAACTACCGCAAAGATGAACAAAATTGTCGGGGTCATTGGCGATTCGAGGATAATGCTCGGATCTTTCAATGCAAAAGTTTACAGATGTATTAACAATGAGACAATCAGATATCGATTATTTCTAGATATTATAACATACAACTTACACTAATTTAATGTAATCCTCCATACATTCGGGTTTCACTTTGTGCCCTAGTATTGGAGAAAATAGGGTAAAATTCATAAGAAACTAGTTGCGTCAAATTATCGGTTTTAGGGATAGGATGAGCCTTCGCAAAATTAATATGGTCATACTTTAATGTAAACTCTTAAAAAAAGTTAACAGTATCAAGTGTATTAAAAGAAATGGATTTGAAGAATTTACTTTGTAATTCGTGAACATATTTCCCACGCGCCACCAACTTTGAGTGCGTTTGATTTTCCA